TCTGCTGGGTTTGATAATTCATTGTAGTGGCCAAAGAGAACTCAGACAACACTCACACAATTAGACGGTTTATTACGGAAGTAACAGATTCAAGTTCAGGAATAATCAAGATACACAATTCTTCATTCAGGACAACCTTCTTCTCAGCTCTGCCCACAAGCAGGTTTCTCTCTGGCTTTTAGCCCTTGGTCTGTCCTCTGTCCTGTTTGGGCAAGTGCTACAAGGCTCTTTTAGCTCTGGTAGCGTAGTGGTTACGAATCGGGCTGCGAACTGCAAGGTCAGCAGTTCGAAACTACCAGCTGTTCCGTGGGAAAAAGATGAGGCTTTCATCTCCCATAAAGATTTACAGCCTCGGTAACCCTGTACAGGGTCGCTATGAGTCGAAACCGACTCCACGGCACATAACAACAACAACATAATGCCCAGAGGAACCCAACTCCACCAGGAAGCTTTGGGTCACACCTAGCTCCATCAAGTACCCAGACACACCCTACTCTCCCAGTGAGCATCTGGCTCAAAGGCACTCAGCTTTTTTGCTCTGTGAACTATGAAGCCCATTCCTCTGACTCCTGCCATTCTCTTGGTTTCTGCTGTCTCACATGGCCATCTCTCATTGTCTTCTGTGTTACAGATCACTCTTACTGTCATTTCGGATAGCAGATTCTCAGCACAGAGATCCCAGGTTCAAAGGATGCACTCTCTTCCTGATTCTTCTTTCTTATTGGCCATAGGGTCTCCTTTTCCGCCTCTGGCATGGTTCATTTTAAGCCTATTGGGATTGTAAAGCTGACCAATCCTCTCATTTGCTGCTGTTGTTAGGTGTCTTCAAATCTGTTCCAACTCAGAATGACCCCATGCACAACAGAATAATACGATGCACAATATTGCACCATCTTCACAATTGTTGTTTGAGCCCACTGAAGCTGCGACCACATCAACCCATCTTGCTTGGGGGTCTTTCTCTTTTTTGCTAACCCTTCACTTTTTCAAGCATGATGTCCTTTTCCAGGGACTGGTCCCTCGTGATAGTGTGTCCGAAGTACAAGACATGCAGTCTCACCATGCTCACTTCTAAGGAGAAATCTGGTTACACTTCTTTCAACAGACATATGATTGTTCTGGCAATTCATGATACTTTCAATATTCTTCTCCTGTACCATAATTCAAAGGCATCGATTGTTCTATAGTATTTCTTATTCATTGTCCAACTTTCATATGTATATGAGGGTATTGAAAATACCATGGCTTGGGTTAGGCACACCTTAGTCCTTAAACTGATTTATTTGCTTTTTAACACTTTAAAGAGATCTTTTGCAGCAGACGTGACTAATACAATACATCATTTAATTTCTTAATGCTGCTTCAATAAGACTTGATTGCGGACCCAAGCAAAGATGAAGCCTTTGACAGCTTCAATCTTTTCTCCATCTATCATGATGCTATTTATTGGTCCAATTGTGAGAATTTTTATTTATATTGAGGTGTGATCCGTACTTACTCTTTATCAGCAAATATTTTAAGACATCTTCACTTCCAACAAGCAAGGATGTGTCATTTGCATATCATAGCTTGTTAATAAATCTCCCTCCAATCCTTCTTCTTCATATAATTCAACTTCTCAGATAATTTGCTCAGCATACAGATTGAATTAAGTATCATGAAGGGATATAACCCTGATACACACCTGTCCTGATTTTAAACCATTCAGTGTCCCCTTGTTCTGTTCTAAAGACTGTCTCTTGGTCTCTGTACAGGTTCTTCAGAAGCATAATTTAGTGCTCTGGAATATTCATTCTTTTCAATGTTATCCATCATTTATCATGATCCACACAGTTGAAAGTCTTGACTATATGCTACCTCTTGAAATGGTTGAATACTGACTTTCTTTCTGGTACAATAACTCTATATTCCTTCATCTTCCTTTGATGATTTCTGCATCATTCAATATTTTGCCCATAGGATCTTTTAATATTTCAAGTTGAGGCTTGAATTTTTCTTCGGTTCTTTCAGCTTGAGAAATGCTGAGCATGTTCTTGCCTCTTAGTTTTCTAACTCCAGGTCTTTGCACATTTCAATATAATGCCTGACTTTGTCTTCTTGAGTTGTCCTTTGAAATATTTTGTTTACCTCTTTAACTTCCTAATTTCTTCCAATCACTGTAGCTTCTTACACTTAAGAGCAAGTTTCAGAGTCTCTTCTGATGTTCATTTTTTTCTTTTCATACTTCCCTGTCTTTTTAATGATCTTTTGCTTACTTCCTGTTTGATGTTATTGATGGCAACCCAGACACTTCTGGTCTTCGGTCATTAGTGTCTAATGTATCAAATCTGTTCTTGAGATGGTCTCTAAATTCAGATGGGATATATTCAAAGTCATATTTTGGCTCTTGTGGATTTGTTTTCATTTTCATCAACTTTAGCCTGAATTTGCATATGAGCAACTGAAGGTCTGTTCCATTGTCTGTCCTTGTTTGGCTGATGAGACTGAGCTTCTCAACTATCTCCTCCCTCATTAGCGATCCATACACCATATACCTTTTTTGCATGAATCTCATCTGCAACAAGGGTGTCATGCACCTTATATACATTATTAACAAGCTATCCAATCACCTTGATGGTCACAAGCACCTTATTTGCATAGGCCTACCCACTCATTTGGGAGTGCTGTGGCTTTAGAGGACAACCACTGGACCATGAACCACAAGTTCAGCCATTCAAGCCCACCAGCCACTCCCTGAAAGATGAGGTTTTCTACTCCCACAGAAATGTATAGCCTTGGAAGCCCTATACGTGGTAACTATTGTTCAGAACTGATTTGATGACACTCAGCAACAACTACCAGTCATCTGGCAGGAGTTACAAAGATTATGGCTAGAGGGCCACAGTAAGTAATTCACTGCATGAGTAACCCTAAAGAAAAACCAGGATAGGAAGGACAGGATGATGGCCATGATCACGTGCTGTGGAGTCGGTTCTAACTCATAGCAACCCTGCATATGGTTACCGAGGCTGTGAATCTTTATGGGAGCAGAAAGTCTCATCTTTCTCCTGCAGAACGACTGGTAGTTTCGAACTGCTGACCCTGAGGTTAGGAGTCCTACTCATAACCAGTATGCTACTGGACAGGAAAGGGACCACAAATGCCACAGATCAATTCAAAGATGGACCACATGAGGGTTCAAGGCTCACCAACCAAACACTCCTAGTATTCACCTCTTCAAAAAGGCTGGAAGATTATTCCTCTTAGGCATCCTGATATCTGAAGTTCTCTTCCTACTGATGTCTTGACCACCGGACCCTGACCTTTCCCAGCACTTGACAATGCTTCTCTAGCCGTTTACATGATCAAACCTCCAAGTTATACAACAATACTATTTAAAGAGGGAAAGGGCAGCCATAGCATTTGATGGCAAACAGTAAGTTTTATCCTTTTGTCTTTTATTTCTGGAGTTTTGTTAACTTGGATTAAATATAGAAAATATTGTCTAAATAAGATGCTTTATTAAGAATCTTACGAAATTAACTTAATTTCTGGCACAGAGAAAAGCAATGAGTGATAGAATTTTCTCAGATTCCAAGAACAGTTATGTAACCAGCCCACGTGGAACAGCCACACTGAAATCAACACAATCAAAGACTGAAATAGCCCACTTCTCTCTACAAGTCAAGATTACAACGGGAGATTTCACAGCGAACATACTTCTCATAGAGCCTCTGTCCTCTCATGAAGGCTTTCACTTCGTTGTCCAATGGGAAGGTACCATCATCCTTTCGAAAGCGGTAGAAGAGTTTGACATCCTTGAATTCCTTGTGCTCATCACACACTGAAAAACAACAGAACAGAGCAATAAATGTGGCGGGCTGGGGGAAGGATCTTACTTAATTACTCCAGTGAAGTAAGATGCTAACTACAAATTGCTTCACTACCTAACTTTTCAAGCACATAAATGTCTACTCTATGATGTCAGTTTGAGGACTAAGGTGCGCCTGACCCAAGCCATGGTATTTTCTATAACCTCATATGCATGTGAAAGTTGGACAGTGAATAAGGAAGACCGCAGAAGAATTGATGCATTTGAGTTATGGTATTGGAGGAGAATATTTAAAGTACCATGGACCATCAAAAGAACAAACAAACTGGATTGGAAGAAGTACAGCCAGAATGTTCCTTAGTAGCCAGGTGGCCAAACATCATCTCTCATACTTCAGACATATTATCAGGAGGGACCAGTCACCGGAGAAGGATATCAAGTTTGGTAAATTGGATGGTCAGACAAAAAGAGGAAGACCCCCTGCGAGATAGATTGGCACAGTAGTACTCGAAAGTAGCAGTGACTGTGAGGTGGCCGCAGGCCAGGGCAGCGTTTAATTCTGTTGGGCATAGGGTCCCTATGAGTTGGTACTAACTCGATCGCACCTAACAACGACAACATATGAGTTAATAAAATATTTAATACAGTACGCAGTACAGAGTAAGTGCTCAGTTGCTAACTAGTTAACTATTATCATTATCATCATTGTCTATTAAGAGGGTCACAAAATTCAACTCATTATTCCTTCCACCAATTATTCTTGAGCATAATATTTGGGCAGGTATCATCCTAAATGTGGTGCTGTAGGATCAGCACTGGACTATGAACCATAAGGGTTGGCAGTTCACATCTAGCATCTACTCCTCGGAAATCCTATAGAGGGTTGCTATGAGTCAGAACTGACTCAATGGCACTTAACAACAACAACAGGATATAAAGGGAGTCTTGATGTGGCATTATGGAGAAGCACTTATTTGCTAACCATGAAGTTGGCAGTTCAAACCTACCAGCTGCTCCTTGGAAACCTATACAGGGTCGCTATGAGTCGGAACCGACTTAAAGATGCTTAACAACAACATGATATACAGAGAATGTCAACATGCAATTACAATATGGGGTGATGACGTTATGAAAGAAGCAGGAAGAGTCCCTAACCCAGTTTTAGGGAGTGAAAGCTTCCAAGAAGAAGTGGCTTATAAATGGAAGCCTGAAGGATGAGTACAAGTTGGGCAAAAACGGGAGGAAAGGGCATTCCAGCTCAAGGGTCTAGACCAGAGTTTGAAATTTCATGGAGGTATGCTTATGAATGTTCACTGAACCATTGCAAGTAACAGCAAACACTTTCAAACCACCTCAGTGTTCATCAGTTTAGATGATGAATCAATAAGAATAGATAAATGTACAACAGCATATTCATGCATGGAATATTGCGTAAAGTGGAAATGAACAAACTACAGATATGATTAACATGGCTGACCCTCACTAACTGCATGTTGATCAAGCAGCAGAAGACATATGCATCTCAAAAAAGCATATAAAGCAATATGGTACATTGCTCAGAGATGCATATGCTGACGGTAACAAACCCAAATCACTGTTGGAGTCAAAAAGGAATTGTGATTGAGTTACGGTACAAGGGAGACAACACAATGCTAAGTGATCTCTTTCTTAAATGGGTAAGCTCATGTCAGGAATAGGATACTGAGTATTTCATTTCCTCTCAAGTCACCTTGACTGTTGTCCACGTCACTCACCGTGATGAATAATGCCCCGGTCGGCTAATTTCTGCATGAGTTTAATTGCCGTCTCTCTGTCAGAAGCCTCTTTGTGTTCAATCAGCCAGTCAATCAGTTCTTTAGCAACAAAGCAGTTTGGGTAGGTTTTGAGATGATGTCGCCTATCTTTAATCACCTTTTCTTCATGGAGCCTGAGCCTGGAAAGAAAATGAGAAAATGTAGCAATAGCTTTAGTGATTCTGATGACAACACAAACTATTAAACCAATCCCACAGAGCAGAAACAAAATGGAAACTCAAAATGCATCAGGGTGCCATTAAGTTCTGGGTTTGGCAGTTGGTAACTTCTATCCTGTTAAAGTCAAAGGGTCCAGAAGTTATCCCACCTGCATACCTGCGAATGTGGGGCAATGAACAAGCATCACAGCCAACTCAGAGCTATCATGCCACCCAAGAGTGAGAGGAACGCTATGCCAACCCTGTCCCTCCTATGTTGTTACTGTTAAGTGCTGTTGAGTTTGTTCCGACTCATAGCAATCCTATATAGGGTTTCTGTAGAGCAGCTGGTGGGCTGAGCCACTGACATTGTGGTTAGCAGTCCACTGCTTGTCCTACAAGGGTTTCAAAAAGTCTGTAGAAAACTTCAACTTTTAATTCCATTTTTCCATGAATGTTCTGAAATTCATATTTCCACCAGTGTAGTACATGGAATCAGCAATCAAGAAATTAAACATCATATTGCATTAGGCCAATCTACTGCACAAGACCTCTTTAAAGTGTGTTATGAGCAAAGATATCAGTTTGAAGACTAAGGTGCACCTAACCCAAGCCATAGTATTTTCAATAACCTCACACACATGTTAAAGTTGGAAAATGAGTAAGGAAGACTGTAGAAGAATTGATATATTTGAGTTACGGTGTTGGAAAAGAATACCAAAAGTACCATGAACTGCCAGAAGAATTAACAAATGTGTGTTGGAAATACAGCCAGAATGCTCCTTAGAAGCCAGGAAGGCGAGACTTTGTCTCTCACCCTTCTGACATATCAGGAGGGACCAGTCCCTGGATAAGGACATCATGCTTGGTAAAGTAGAGGGTCTGCGAAAAAGGAGGACCCCCAATGAGATGGACTGACAGAGCGGCAGCCACAGTGGGTTCAAATGCAACAGTACCTGTGAGAATAGCACAGGACTGGGCAATGTCTCGTTCCATTGTGCACGGGGTTGCTATGAGTCAGAGCCAACTCAACAGCACCTAACAACAGCTATTGCTTCAAGCATCGAACAAACAAAAACACATGAAACTTGTGCATAGATCATGCATTTATCATTCAGTCATACAATCTCTACTGATTGAGTGCCTACTATGTGCCTATTAGGTACTATTCTAGGCACTAGAAACAAATTTCAGAAAAACACAGGTTCTAGGTTCTGATTTGAGCACTTTATATAGGATCACAACAAACTCATCAGGAAGTTAGGCCCATGTTTCATAGGCGAGAAAACAAAGGCTTGAATGACTAAGTGATTTCCTGAGACAACACTACTCACAAATGGTGAATATGAGACTTGAACTCTAGTTGCCTTGCTTCAGAGTCCAGCTCTCCAATTACCATACCATGCTGCCACAGTCTCTAGTTTGAGAGGGGTACATGAAATATCTGGGACAGAGGGGTTAAAACTGCTGGACAAATACAACTCATTTACAGGCTGGTAGATCTGTGCCGAGAAAAGTGGTTGGCAAAGAACCTTCTCTTACTTTAGAAATCAGTAACTTTTCTCCCAAAAGAATCTTAAATCTGACTTTTTTCTGGTTTAAAGTTTTGTCTTCTTTTTTTCCCCCTTTTATCTCCCTTTCTTTTCACACTCTTGCATTTACTTCTTTATTTCTCAAATGAAGGATTTGAATTTGGTGAACCTGAGGTCAGCTTTGTCACTACTTCACCCACTGGCCTCTGGTTAACACTGTTTAAAAATGAGGAGCTCACATGAGTCAACCACACAGTAAATGTGTGATCTGAGTAATCAATGTCTCTTTCTCCTCTGTAGAATGCAGGCAGTCATATCTGCCCTATCCTCGGTAGTGGGAAGATGTGAGGACTGATACATGTTAAGCACAGGTCCCTCCTAGAGAAAGAAGACGACTGTGCCTGATTCCTGAATGTGCTGAAGGGGATTTGAAGGGTTTCAAGAGCCCAAGGGTTGTATTATGAGTAGAGAGTGCACTGGGCAGGCAGCTCTGAGGCATGAATGGCCCTCCTTGTTACACTACCACCAGCTGAAGCCTAGGGACTCCTGACGTAGTTCAGGGTTAAAGGGCTCAGCCAGAGCAGCAGCAGTGGGCATGGAGAGGAGTGAAATGACAGTCATCATCGTTGTGCACTGCAGAGAAGAAACACATTTTAATTGAGCTACAGTTGCGTGCCCAGGATGATAGGGCACACATAGTGTTTGCACACACAGTGACTCAACTAATTGGATCTGAAAGCCATGTAACTACTCTGCATCTCATTTTCCGATTTGTAAAACGAGTGTAAACTGGATGAAGCATCAGGCCCTTTATGGGGGCATTTCACTTCACTGTCTACCCAGCATCCACTCTCCCTTCTTCTGCTTATAGCGTTCCTACCTTTCTTTGGGAAAACAATTCATCATCTATTGTCAGTCCATGTGGCTCAAATGTGCCTAACCTCAACCCTAGCACATGGCCCATGCTTAGCCATCAAATCATTCTATGTTCAGACTCTAGATTTGGTTTATGGATGAGCATGTGACCTAAGCTACGGCAATGCGACTCATTTCTATGTTTGTTAGGAATCTTGGGAGCTAATACGTTTTAAAATGTATGCTTTGAGCTACTCATGGCCATCTTTGATACCATAAAGACAAAGCCTGGCTAATAATGAATCCAACACAGAGAATAGCAGTGTTCCCTTGTAGCTCTAGGATATGTGCACTGTGTTGTTGTTGTTAGGTCCTGTCAAGTTGATTCACACTCACAGAGAACTTCTGCCTAACAGAATGACACATGGCCCAGTCCTATACCATGTTCACAATTGTTACAGTTGAGCCAATTGATGCTGCCACTGTGCCAATCCATCTCTTTGGGGGTCTTCCTCTTTTTGGCTGACCTTTCTCTTACAAATCATAATGTCCTTCTCCAGGGACTGTTCCTTCCTGAAGTATGAATCATGTCCGAAGTATGAGAGACAAAGTCTCGCCATCCTGGCTTCTAAGGAGCAGTACTTCTTTCAATACAGAATTGTTTGTTCTTCTGGCA